TATATATACGTATATATAATGTTTTTTTTCTCCAAAAGTTTAAAAGGGAACTTGATTTGTTTTTCTGATCTGTTGGGAAAATGCTTATTCAACTAATGTAATTACTATGGATCCAACAATTAACTGAGAATGGATTAATCATCAGTTATATAGCAGTGTCAAGTAATTACGTATTACTTATACTTTAGTGGAGTAAGTATTTTTCAGCCTACTTTTTACTTCTACTCCTTACATTTTAAATCAATTATCTGAACTTTCTACTCATTACTTTTTAAAAATTAAAATTTTTTAATTTCTATTGAACTTTGGAGCTGCTCCGAAGTCAATCTACAAAGATCATGTCACACCAACAGGAAAAAGAACAAGCACAAAATCCATATTTCCAAAATAAGACACCATAGGGTGTCCCAATTTTGTCAAAATCCCAGCTGTGTTAATCAATATGTGGATATATTTCCACACAAATGCTGTCAGAGTGTATCGTTCTGTTTGGGAAGCAGATGGCCACGTGTAGCATGAAGCATATGTGTACACACAAAATACACGTGGATATTATCAGAAGTTTCAAAAAGGCGACAGTGATACAGTTTCACACATCAAAAGCCTTTATATCTGGGTTTTCAGCTGTGTTTGAAGTTMGTCTTTCACAGAATTAATTATTTTTTGCTCTGACTTTCAAATTTATCTCTGAATTTATTGCACAATCTCCTTCCTGCACGCTCTCTCCTCTGTGCGTCGCACTGGAGCGGAGCTGAGCAGAGCAGAGGCTGTAGAAATTGGGATGAAAATGAACAGGTGCGAACTGTGCACCACAGCGGAGCAGAGTCGCATCTAGTGTAAATCTGGGGTGAAAACAAGAGAGCAGGACGATAGAGAATGGTAAGCTAACTGTAGCTAATGTTAGCTTCTTCTCGTTGAGTTTAACTTGTAATGATATAATAAATAAATAAATAAATAAATAAATAAATAAATAAATAAATAGTTACAGTTGCTACAAATAATTAATGTGGAGTTAATCTCATCTGTATGATGAAACCCTGCCAGTGAATAAATCAAATGAATGAAGTAACTGACATCAAATCATGCCGAGCAGCCCAGCCCAGATAGAACCACAGGGAAAATGTAAACAAACAATTGCCAGAACTCATTTGTACTCTCAATTCTTTCAGGGATATTTTATTATGTTTATAGTTTGTTTTTAAATTAATCTTTATTGTAAAATATTACTCTGTGTTTAAATGGTGATGTTTTTCATAAGTGTTTTACTCCTTTTATTCTTTTTTTTCCAACTAGCGACCTAATAGATTCCTGTTTTGTTATATTTTATAAATATGCCCAAGTTTAATAATGTGAGAGAAATCCACATTTTCTGTTTATTCATTCAGTGTTTAACACAGATGGCATAATGAATTGGTAAAATAATACTGTACTTTTTTTAATTTAGCATGTAAAATATTAGCCCTTCATATAGAAAGATTCTTGATTCAAGAGAAATGTCAGGTTTTTAAGAAAATGGACGCTTATCAATTAATCATTAGTTKATCGATAAGATCAATCAACTTTAAATTAATTCATTAATCGATAACTTGCATGCCTAGATTGAACGCACTCCATCACAGCTGTAAGACACAAATCACATCACATTCCAGCAAGACATATTGATCCTTAATTGCCTTTTTAAGCGTTCATTACTTTTACTTTTATATTTTAAGTCATTTTAAAACTAGTACTTTTATACTTTTATTGGGTAAAAAGCTTGTGTTGATACTTCTACTTCCAAAAACGTATTTTTAAACCCTAGTACCTATAATTCTACTTAAGTAATGAGTGTGAATACTTTTGACACCTCTGCAATTATAACTGCTTAAAATATGAATCAATTCATAAAAAATGTCAACTGATTTCATTTGTATTGTATAACAGTGAGTTATATCTTTAAGACAAGTTCAGTTTGATACTTAACTTTTGTTCACAAAAGGATTTGTGATGTATTTTTATTTATTTTGAAGTTATATTCTGTTACAAAGACATCAGACAGTTACAGTTTGATTAAAAAAAGACAAAAAATGCAATGTTAAAAGAAAAGAAGCATATTTGGTTATAAAATGGCTACAATTCATTTTAATAATAATAATAATAATAATAATAATGCATTAGTTTTATATAGCGCTTTTCGAGACCCTCAAAGAAGCTTTACAATTTTCATGCATCATTCATTCACACTCACATTCACACACTGATGGCAGTAAGCTACATTGTAGCCACAGCTGCCCTGGGGCAGACTGACAGAGGTGGGGCTGCCATGCTGCGCCACCGGCCCCTCTGACCACCATCAGTGGGCAAGGTGGGTGAAGTGTCTTGCCCAAGGACACAACGGCATGTAGGCATGGCGGGGAGTCGAACCTGTGGCTTGCGGGTCCCAAAGCCGGCTGCTCTACCACTACACCACAGCCACCCCATTTTGTTGRGAAAAAATAGAAAAATATTGTAATTGTGAACTTAAAATCAATAATTAGTGCTTGAGTCTTATTAGTTTAAATATGCTAATAATGAGAAGGGATTTTCCTGCCAAGGATCAATAAAGTATCTATCTAATATGTCCATCCATTATTTTTACCTGCTTCTTCCTTTCAAGGTCATGGGGGTCGCTGGTGAACAAACAAACAACCATTCACCCTCTCTCACTCAAACATAGGGACAAGAATTGCCATTTATTATTAGCATAACATTCATGTTTTTGATCTTTGGAGAACCCAGAGAAAATCCACACATGCACAGAGAAACATGGACACTCAGAAAGCTGTTCCAGACAGGATTTGATTTGGCAACCTTCTTGCTGAGAGGCATCAGCTCTACCAACTATGCAACCCTGCAGCCCATAATAAGGGTAAGTGTAAACTTAAACAAATGGATCTGTGAGAAGTCTGCATTTTTACATGAGACAACAGATTTACCTTTGCTGCAAAATCTGAGAAAATCTGCTTGTAACTTGTCATTCAGTGATGAACTTGTCAAATGGAGAACCTGTCAGCTTCCATCACAGCACACTCTGATTAAACATCTTACTTCTTTGCAAAAGGTCACAGATTCTTGGCGTCAAATGCACCTGATTAAAACTKGAATGAGTTTGAGAATATCTGTGAAAACTACTTCCAACTTAGATTTAGACAGAGTCACATGTTTATTATTCAGTCATTTTCAACAATAATGTGATTACATTGATTTAAAGCAGAAATTTTGAGCAACATTATTTGCACGGTCAGATTTTCACTTAGTACTTATCCTAATTCAAACCTGACCACCTGTAGCCACACATCAGATGGTGTTACACAATGCTGAATGCACTTTGTAAAAATGTGAATTAAAGTGGGATCTTATGAAATTTAAAGCTATGAACTCCTTACCAATTTTGAACGGATATGGGAAGCAAAAAGTATTAAACAACAACATAAATGCCCTGTTATATATTTATTTATGTATTTATTTATTTATGGATTTGCCTGAATTACTGAGAATCTACACCAATTTAGGCATCGCAGTACAACGCATGGAACATAGCAGGTAGACAGTTTGGCTTTTTAGTTCATGCCGTACATTACTTGCATGTTATCACATTTTCATGTAATCAGACGATATTGTATTCATTATTTGATGTTGTCTTCCAAATTAATGAGCAAAACGTTTTATATTCAGATACAACTAATCAGTTTGTTTGAATTGCATTGAAATCTGTTGTAATTTGAAGTTTCACTGAGTAACTTACAGGTTAATTTTACTTCAAACAGATCCCCTGATGGTAAAAGGTAAGGTTGTAGTGCGTGATCACCCTCTGCTGGTTACTTTTTATAACTAACAAATACAAAATTGTTAGGATTTAGTTTGATTTCATGATAACTCCATCCATCCATTAAATCTTTTTGTTGTTGTTTCTGTTTTTGAGTGAGTGGCATTTTTTTTGATCACATAACATCCCTAATTGAGTCATAGTATCATCTGGGTTGAATAATACTTGGACTGAGAGCTCATCTCTCTGGTATCTTGACTGGTTTCGGGTGTTAGTTTGTGTCACCAGCTCGTACTTGTTCCTCTTCACACTCTGTGCTTCGTCTTGATCAAAGCGAGGTAAAAGTACACGAGGCTTTCATACGGCTTGAAAACAGTTTGTTGTTGTCAAGAGAGATTTTACATCATCACACCCTGAGAATCGTGCAAACTCGAGTTCTTTTTATTATCCCCTGACTTCTCTTACTAAACAAATGATGAGTTATTTGATGATATTACAGCAATGAAATTTGCTGGTATATGACTTTTCTACGAACCTCCCAGAGTAAAGAAGTTACTTTAGTTTATCTGACAGTATCATGAAAGGTGTGGCAAACTATAAATCAAGCTGTARAATATGAATAATCAGTCCTAATTCTGATTTTGTTCCCATTTATGTGACTTACTGTAAGTGTGTTGTAGTTTTGGAGTCGTCTGACACTGCTGACGATGTAGTGTTGAGCAAGACTTTGTGTCACCAGCCACACCTTTCCACTCCTCCTCTCACAAGCGGTAGTTACAGCTAAGCCAGGCTCAGATCTATAAGAACTTTGCCAGCAGCTAAGAAGTCATTATTTACAGTGCAGCTCAAGCATCAGACCTTCAAGGAACATGCTGTGGACAATATTTCTGATTCTTAATGGACTGTTTATWTTACTTCTTCTGTTTTTTACTCGCTCAAGGTAAAGCTTTACACTTTACTTTTTTTGTTATTATGCTTTATTCTATGTCTGAAAACAGGCTTTACTGATATTTTCTTTCAGAAAAGCTTTTCAATTGTTATCATTTAAAGTTTAAGTTTAGATTTAATCAAAGGTGATAGAATGATATATACTTCAATATATATATTTTTTAAGTTTTAAAATGATGTCAAACACGATTAATTTTAAGATGCTAGTTTTGAAACTTTTTTTAGTCTACGTCTCGTAGTTTTAATGAACTTCAGGGAAAAAAAGGGGGGTTTCTTCTGCCTGCCTGTAAAACTTCAAACCTGTTTGGTGAGATTTATGACTGTGTGAAATGTAGATATGCAAACCATCACGCTGCCATAATTTTCTATGAATTTCCTTCTAACTGTCAGACRGAAGAACGAGCCGCCTCTCGACAAAGGGGTCATTCCATGGCTGGGTCATGCTCTTGAGTTCGGCAAAGATGCAGCAAGGTTTTTGGCACGCATGAAAGAAAAACACGGAGATATCTTCACTGTAAGTTTGCATAATGACGAAAACTTTTGAAGCCAGTGCTTCTGAGGTCATCGGTGTAGTTAAATATTTTACCCCAAGCAAGTCTTTCTTTCTTCGCATTCACTGTGACAAAAATGTAATCATCAGATTGTAGATAGCACAGATTTAAAACCAAGCCATGGAGTATACTAACAGCTACAATTATCCCCTGTTAGGTCTGTGTTGCCGGGCACTATGTGACAGTGCTGTTGGACCCAAACTCCTTTGACAGTGTGCTGAGTGATACAGACAGTTTTAAATTCAACAAAATCCGAGGCCAGCTCATAGAAAGAGTCTTCAGTTTGCAGCTTCCAAACCTCGACCGTGCATCAGAGAGAAAATGGATGGAAACGTAATGCCTCCTTTAAACTATTCATCACTGAAGTTGTAAATGAGACTCTCACTTCGAGTTTCATTCTTTAGGCATTTCCAAGGTCACAGTCTCCAGAAGCTCAGCAGCTCCATGAACACTCACCTTTACAACCTGCTGGTGAATAACCATGAACCCTGCAGCTCTTCAGAGTGGAGGGAGGATGAACTCTTTGGCCTCTGTTACAGTCTTCTTTTCAGGTAACAGACTGTGTTAAAGTGTTGTGGTGTCGTTGTTTATATTGCACAGTGCGACAGACAAAGGGCATGCTTTTTTAAACTTGGCCGTTGTTGACAGAGCTGGATATCTTACGTTGTTTGGAAAGGAAGACAGTGCAGCCACAGTCTATGAGGAGTTTCGAAAGTTTGACGGACTTCTCACCAAACTGGCTCGAAATTCTGTGAAACGAGGTAAGCTGGGCTCTAGTTCATAAAAGCAAATTGCTGATATCCAGACTAACATGGGAGCGATACAACGCAAAAATTATCTAAAAAAAGTTTAAAATTCTATTATAGTCTGAAACTTCTCAAATGAAGTGAAATAAGTGCAATAAGACAATTACGTAAGACCTTTTGAAATAAGGAAAATTTCCAGGCTTACAAGATTAATAATCTAATACATTCTGGTCTTGCTTAGTATATCATTCTCAAAACAAGATCAAAAATACTTTTTGACCGGATATAAGAGTGTAAGAATTGATTAGATTAAACATGTTTACAGTGTAGTTCAGATCTTTTGAAAAGATGTTTGTGGAAAGATTATGAAATATCAACATATTACCTGTTACAGATAGCTCTTTGAATAACATCCGATTGGAGAAATAAAGTTAAGTCTGACCAAATTGATGTTTGCTTGCATGAACTGTTATGAAATTGTTGTAAAAGGGTTTGTTCTAAAACAACAGCAGTTCGATTTGGTCTTCTTGGCTCCACTCAGACTAGCTATTAGCTTGTCAGCATGGTCAGAAATATACTGTGTTGTCATTTAGCTGATTATCAAATAAAATACATTCTAATTTATTGTTTTTAAAAATAATTTATCAATATGCCATGTACTGTTTGATTTACATAATTTTGTAATATTGTAAATATCAGTTTGTGTTTTTCAAATCAGAGAACTGAAAGAAGCCATTATTTCCTTTAACCATGACTCTTTGTGTACTTTGTCCATAAAATGCAAAGTGAGTAACTTTGAATATCTGTGTTGGTTTGGTAACAGGGGAAAGTAAAATAGTCAAAGCATCCCAGGAGCAACTTTGGGAGCTGCTGTCCCCCCGGTGTCTGAACGAAGCGTCTGATTCCTGGCAGCAGAGCTACCATCACTTCCTGCAGGGACAGGGGATAGATGCAGACATGCAGAAAAAAGCCCTGCTCTTGCAGCTGTGGACCACCCAGGTCGGTGCTCTTTTATTAGCCGTTGCCCTGTCAAACAAACAGAAATCCTAAACAAAATGACACACAGGCAAGACGCAACACTGATGCCCAGATAGTGAAACTCACAAGCTGCAGCATCCAGCTGAATGTTTACCTTCCAGTTTGTTGCCTTAAGCCTATTAACAAAGCGGAGAGGATTCCTCGCTTTCAAATTGTTCAGAGCTGCCTGCCTCGACCTGTTGCTCAGATTAGACTTTCCTGGTTAGATTTTAACCATATGAATCAGTTTCACATAACTTCCTTTAAGGTTCAGAAAGACTTGTGTAAACAGTGGAGGAACTGTGTTCGTAAGCTGAAGTTATTTCCTCTTTCCCTAATAGTGTCTGACACTGAAGTTAAGCATTATGTTTAAACTGTACCCATGACGCATTTATTTAAATAAAACAAGGGAAAAAATACATTATTGGGTAAATAATTTTCCTTGTACTAATTGTTTATTACATCTAAGTTTGCTCATTTGTCCAGATGTTCATTTAGTTTCAGGGTGCTGTAGAGAGTAGTTTCAGGTTTCAGCAATGCTGATTTATGTGTGAACAGAATCTTTGTTCACCGGTCCAGACAAGTTCAGAGCAGCGTAGTGTCGTTACACGTAGTGGCCTGGTGGGGGAGAAAGCGAGCCATTAATGGTCTGTGGCTTTGCAGTTCATCTATGCATCATTTCATCTGTAGAAGCTTCAGCCCCTGTATTGTTAACACTGACGCTCTCCCTGCAACAGAGCTTATACAGTCTGCTTGTCCTAAGAGACTCCCCAGGTTTGTAGGTCCATTATCATGAAAAGGAGGGGTACAGGAAGCAGATCCTTAGCTTGACGTTGAAACTGGGGCAGTACTGCAGAGAACACAGGGATAAGATTTGAAACCAAAGAAAGGTGGCTTCTACACATGTCACAGGCAGGCTACTAAATCTAAAAAGAAGTGTAATGCTAAGATATTTCACTACAACCACCTACGCCATTTTTAAGTTATGCACAAGCAGAAAGTAGCAACGTGCTTTCCATTTGCAAACAATCAATTTAATTGACTTACGCAAATTATACATAGGCTTGAAATATGTATTAATTGTTTACATTGCAGAAAAGACTGTGACTGAAACCACTGAGGTWTCAAAACTCTCCTCCCATGCATGTAAAATAAAGCCTGTGGCTGTTTAAAAGGGTACACATTGCTTTCAGTTCTAAACATGTTGGGACCAGTTTATCTTAGCATTTAGATTGGGAATAAGGAAAAAAGTTACGTAACTGTATTGTACAAACAACCCCCTCATCTTGCATCACTATTAATCATTTATAGTCAGACTTGTATCAATATGAATCTGGTAATTTGAAGGCCTGAAGAGGGCAGGAAGGCAATGTGTACCTCTTGTAGCTTTTGGGCTTTTGCCCTGCTGTCAATGGAGAGCTGACCTGAGACGTGCAGCRGTAAAAGGAACAGCTCCCTTAACCCACAGCAATTACTGTCTGACAGGCTCAGGTGCCTCCCTCTGTGAGGCTGACAGCAGGCTGTWCGAAGTGCGGACTCATTTACTGCCTTCTCCTCACATCCGTCACATTCAGACAGCAGCATTACAGAAAACTTAAAGGGTGTTTTTGGTTTAACTAGCAAATAATGAGAATTCTTTGAACTTTGTGCACACACCGTGTTCATCTTCACCAAATTAGCAGCAGATCTGTGGAGCTGAAACCCTGCGTGTTTGATGATTTTTTCCCCTCCCTTTCAGTGTAATGCTGGACCTGCTGCCTTTTGGATCCTTGGCTATCTGCTTACTCACCCCGAGGCCATGGAAGCTGTTAAGTCAGAGATGAGAGGCCTTTCCACTCTCCAGTATACTTCCCTGCAGCGGCCCGCCCTAAACCAGCTGGAAGCTCAGCATACACCTGTGTTTGGTACAAAACCCCTGCTTTCTGCCTTTTTGTTGCTYATTTTTTGATCTTCTGTCTTTGGTTTAATCACTTCACCAAGACAGAAGCCAAAGCCCTTTCAGCATGCTGTAAATAAGCAAATGACCTTTAGATCAGTTAAATAAAGATTGTCTGCTTCATATCTTTTTATTGGTTCAGCTGTTTGTATCTCTCCAAATTATGCCCAAAGGCATCGCTGATTTAACCAGCGAAGACAGCTCTCTGACATTATCCACTTTGCTGTCTGGTCCACTTCGCAGACAGCGTTTTGAACGAGACCCTACGGCTCACCGCCGCYGTGATGATCAATAGAGAAGTGGTGCGGGAAAAGACCCTGCGCTTGGCCAACGGTACGGAGTACCACCTCAGACAAGGGGACAGAGTGTGCCTCTTTCCCTTCCTCAGCCCTCAAATGGACCCGGAGATCCACCAAGAACCCCAGGTACGTACTGTCATGTGCAGATCCAAAGAGTTCTAATACGATGAGTGTATCTAACTGTTTGAAATGGATGCACTGATTGCTCACCAAGTAACCAAAATTGTCYGATTTTCATTTTTGCTGGTAAAAAACAGTCTATAAGTGCATCACAGCAAAGTGGCAAATTCATGCTAGCAATATCAAAATTTTTAGTTTAAACTTTGTTGCTGAGTGATGAAGACTAGAAGTGAGACACATTTAATATATGTAAGTTTAAAAATAAAGTCCACCATGGTGCATTTCTTTTGAAAAATGAATATAATCATATTTTAAACCACAGAAGGTTGGGAGGCAGGATTAAACTGTGAATTAGAGCCATAAAGTTATTAATAGTTGTGGTTTTAATCCATTTTAATGGGATTATCAGTAAACTGAGATCATTTAACTTTGTTTGTCTCTGATGATTAGTGACAATAATTACATATTATTTAGAACAGAATGTACAGCGTAGTGAGCACACGATCATACTTGTTTGCATAAACTTGTAATTGACACACATCTATGTTTTATCCTCATCTCATCCCWCCCCAACAGATGTTCAAATACGATCGCTTTCTTATGGAAAACCAAACGGAGAAAGATGAATTCTACAAGAACGGGAAAAGACTGAAGTACTACATCATGCCTTGGGGCGCAGGGAGGAACAGCTGCGTGGGGAAGGAGTTTGCTGTTGCAGCCATTAGGCAGTAAGTTTATGAATCTAAACTTCGGAGCACTCCATCACGTATCTTAGAGTTGGAAAATGATGCATTTGTGATCAAAGAGCTTTCAGTGGTTTCATCTCGATTAACAGAGTCGACCCGCAAAATAAATAAATAAATAAATAAAAATAAATAAATAAAAAAAGACATCTTAATATTCTCTCCTTTTATCATTTCAATCCCGCTTTCATGTTCTCTATCATCATTAGCCGCAAGCCGTGAAATATAATTGCAAATATTTTGTGATGAAATGAATGAAAGAGAGCAGAGCTTTTCTGTATCTGGCAAAGGTTAAAGGTTAGTTTGTTTAGGAGCAAAATAGAAGTCAATGCTAAATGATGCTGACATGTAGACCTTAGGAATCTTTTTTTTTTTTTTTTTTTTTTGTATTTGTGACCCATCATATCGAAATGAGTATTAAGTCAAATTTGGCCAGAATGACCTAATCACATTTTCAGATTCCTGGCTTTAAAAGCCACATTTTGATACCTGGATCTTTCTGATATCATAAACAGATCCAGAAATACGACTTAATTTGTCTTGCTGGTTACAATATTTGGTCTGAATCTTAATTTTATGTAATGAGGAAATTTTGATGTCATTATTAGGAGGAAACCTCAAATAGTATTTGAATATTGAGATTCCCCAGGTGGAATGAAATAAAACTTTGCTTGCTCACAGGAAAATCTCACAAATTTAAAGCATTTTTTCTCAAAATCAGGTTTTTTGATGCCACTGCTCAAAAACGTGCTTGACTTTTTTTTAGGATTATGTTTCAGACAGTTCATTTAAACATTGATAAGGCACTTATTCATCATATTTTGACAAAACGCAATTTTTGCAAAAGTTCTTATCACAACACTATATCTGCCTCTCCACATTCCACTTTTAGACATATTTTATTATTTATTAAAGACATTTTATTAAAGGATGGATTTCCACACTTTTATTGATTTGTCTGTGTGTTTTTATTTACCCTTAAAGGTTTGTGTTCCTGATTTTGACTCATCTTGATCTGGAGCTGAGTGACCCCGATGCTAAACTTCCACCTGTTAATCCAAACCGCTATGGCTTCGGGATGCTGCAGCCAGACGGAGATCTGCAGGTCAGATACAGACTGAAGAGGACATGAAATCTGCACACTCTAAAGTGTGCTGACTGATGAACATATTTTTTAAAAGTGGTTTTAGTGTGACACAACATTATTTATTCTGGTTCATATTTAATCTATCTGCCTTTAAGCTGTAAAATGCATTGCTGTGTTTAAAACATTATTTATAATAAAATAAAGTAAAACCTCAAACTGAGTCAGCCTACCTTTGAGTGTTTTTGCCAAACAAGGAGATTCCTCTAGAAATGGCAACAATTTTTGTGAGGATTGTGTTGTCTGTTCTGTGTTTTCTTTGTGTCAGTGCCTCACAGTTCTCCTCAGCTTGTTTTCTTGCCATTTCTCAGTTAATCCTCCTCACCTGTCTGTGATCAGCAATCAGTCTTCCCTCCAGGTGTTTGTCATTTCCTCTCTCCCTCTGTTTTGCATAAATACTGAGTCTTGTCACTATTTCCTTGCTGGATCATTGTAGGGCTTGTCCATCTGTTTTTGGTTTCCTTGTTGTCTCCTAGTGCAGAGATTCTTMACCTATKGGCCGCGGCCCATAAGCACCACCTTGAGGGCCTCAAAAGAACAACAGTTTTAAACTTTGGGGTGCAGAGGGCTGCGGGACCGCATTGATTTTGAGTAAGGTGCAATACACTTTCTCACCACTGGCATTGGTAGTGCACCACTCGGATGTTTRACAACTTTTTTTAATACTTGGAAGAAGAATCTTAGAAACCTGCCAAGAATAGAAACCTATTTTAAATAAAAAGTAGAAGCAAAAATGAAGGTAACCCATCAAAAAATACCAAAGTTTGTCACTAATATGAAGTGAAGCCTCTGGTTTTACCATGCAATATTTTAAAAGTTCAAAACATTATCAAATACAGTTGCAGATGCAGCCATATTTTAATTTGCACTTTACCAAATTATTTTTGTAGTTTATTTTTAAGCATTTTGTCAAAAAGCTGTTGTTACTGTTATTGTTTATC